ACATTTCTACGACATATGAAGAAAATGGACTTAGCGAATACGTTACATTGAAGGCAAGAGGGACGATGGGAAGCAGTGAATAACCTACCAAATGATTTTCTATAAATGTTGGGCAAAACAAGGGGTAGGAGTGATATAAAATGGACAAAACCCACTAAGAACGACAAAGGATAGAATGTTAAGGAGAGCTATAAACACCCACATCCTGAACGAACATGGCACATAGAAAATGATTTTCGAAGAAAGTCGTGTTCATTATTGCAACGATTCAATATTATCCACTCTTGCAACAATATTTTTTTTTTACTTCATTTAACTCACCTTGGTAGATTTCTTTGGAGTTAATTAGTTTTCACGGTATGTCATTTTTAGCATTATATATGTCTAGAAGGTTTTTGCAATAATCTGATGTATTTAATATTGTTGAAGTTATCGCTAACATTTTTGTCGAGATTTACAAACTCTACGTTTCGTTCAATTTCACAAACCAATCGATGAAATTCGAATAAGCTGATTTGTTTGGAAAATACTTTGACAAAAACCCTACTTCGTTGTTTTTATGCATCCTAGTAACAGACTGTACAAGTCGTTGGCAGTCTCCATTCTTCTATGTTGATCTGAAACGGGGACAATGTTGGCAGAAACAGAGAGAAGGATCCAAGCGTCAACAAATGTATGAGAAACCTCTATTGGGGACATAAAACCATTGAGCATGTATGGAAAAGTGTTGGAAGTTTTGTGGTCACAAGGAAACTCTTCTCGCCGCTGTTAAATGGAGAAAAATGGCGTGTTTTGGACACAGTACAAGAGACAACAGCCTGTGCAAGACCATCATGCAAGATCACCGTTGAAGATGAATGTAGGAGAGGACGCTAACATAAAAAACTTGTTGGATATGTCAAACAATGGACATGTATGAATATACCAGAATTGATGATGGCAGAGAAGATATAGTATGGCTTCTGCATTTGGATCCCCCACTACGAGATACAAAAGTCAAGGTGATTATTATTATTATTATTATTATTAAAACCAACTGTTGTTTGTACCCTCTTCCTTGTTTTCACTTCTCCAAACAATTTTGTTTCGAACGGTGAATGTAGGATGATTAGACAGACGGACTAACAGAAGTCACAAAATTTTATATATAGATTTACTTTATTTCATGCTAATCTATATGAATTATTTTCGATGCCATATTTTTTTCTCTGTTTTAATCTGAAAATCAGTCATTTGTTTTTGTGTAACTTCGAATTTTAGAATTAATTTAATTTCAAAGACTCTAAAAAGATTGCGTTTGACGATATTCCGACCAACATTTAGTCATTCATTGCTATTAATACATCCCTTTCTTGTGAAGTTTGTAATGACGTCCCGTATCTAGTATTTTTCATCCGTGATTGATGACATTGATGGAATATACACAGCGGTGAAATTGGTCACAATGCCAGAATTGTTATCTTACAGTATCCATTTCTAAAGTTTTGGTTTACCTCCATATGGATTTGAGAATGAAGTGTCATCATTAATATGTAACCTGCCATGAACAGCCTTCAACACAGATTTTTTTTTCAAACCAGTAGCGTTTTTTCGACTTCAGACTTGTTTTACTTTGGGAGACGTGGGCTTTGTGGAACATGGCGTTCAAAACAACCCGCTTTGATTTTTTTTTTTTTTGTTTAGGTATAATAATTGTGGTTTTTGTATTTTAACTATTAACAACAAAGGGTGCTTTTTTGCATGAACCAGTTGACCCCATTAAGTCCGTTTTCTAGTAATAGACTTTCTTACAATATTCTTTTCGGATCGTTTTCTTCATAATTGCATGTGTATTCCGTCTCCTTCACGAATTCTTAAGTATTTGTATGCACGATCTTAGTCTAGTTTCTTAATCTTGATGTTGATATCAAGTTGGCTTTGGCACATTTATCTATTCCGAACTCCATCGTGAAGGTTTTGACAATGGTGAGTAGGTTTTTCTGCTGGTTGCTATCCTTAGCAAAAGTTTTAACATCATCAATATAGAATAGGTGATTCAGTTTGCCAATGCGTGACATGTATCCGTAGCTTCTGTTTAGTAGTCAGTTGAGTGGCGTTGGTGCAAGGCAGAAGAGTATTTGTGACAATAAATCTCATTGGAAGATCATTCATTTGATGTTGATTGGCTTCAATGTCCTGTTTTCATGGATTAGGTTTCATGTAGTCCTCCAGTTTTTCATGCTCTCCATTATGAATTTGACCATTGTTGAGCATAATCTGTATATTTTTTTTTACTTTTCTCTATCCATGAGTGTGGCACACTGTCAAACGCCTTTCTGTAGTCAATCCATGTTATCAATGCTTCTTTTGCTTATTTTCAAATTGGTCAAACCCAAACTCAAATAAAAACATTGTTTCAATCGTTATGATTCTACCGATTGAATAGAATTTTATTATAAACAATTGTCTTGTAAATGGAACACACACACATACACAAACCGGGTTTTATAAGTATAACTCGATATGAGTTGTCACCATTTCATTCTTGCGACAGCGATACGTTTTAATCGTGTTTTCAAATTGACTTAGTGCAAAAACAATTGTTTTACCAATTTTTGGGCTCTGTCAGAACCACCGCAAGATAATTTTACGTAGTCCTGTGAAGTTTTGTTGAAATCGGTTGAAAAATTTAGGAAATCCGATCCCATATATAAACGAACACACACACAGACAGACACACACACACAGACAGACAGACACACACACACACACAAACAAACACACACACACACAACCTGGGTTTTATAAGTATAACTCGATATGAGTTTTCCCCCTTTCATTCTTGCGACAGCGATGCCTCTTAATCGTGTTTTCAAATTGACTTAGTGCAAAAACAATTGTTTTTACCAATTTTTGGGCTCTGTCAGAACCACCTGCAAGATAATTTTACGTAGTCCTGTGAAGTTTTGTTGAAATCGGTTGAAAATTTAGGAAATCCGATCCCATATATAAACGAAACACACACACAGACACACACACACACAGACAGACACACACACACACAGACAGACACACACACACACACAACCTGGGTTTTATTATAAATATGAGTTTTTCCCCCCTTTCATTTTAGTGCTCTTAATCGTGTTTTCAAATTGATTTTGCAAAAAAACAATTGTTTTTTCCAATTTTGGCGCTGTCAGAACCACCGCAAGGTAATGTTACGTAATCCTGTGAAGTTTTGTTGAAATCAGTGTAAAAATATAGGAAATCCGATCCCATATATAAACGAACAGACACACACACACACACAACCTGGGTTTTATAATAAGTATGATTACTCGTTTCTTGCCCCTGTACCTTCCTCTTTTAGCTCCCTTCTGTTCTGCTGGGAGTAAATTGTGTTTTCTTAATGAAGCTGTATGTCCTCTCAATTCTGCTAAAAGTGAAGATCTTGTACATTGGTCGTAGGCAGGTAATGGACCTAGAGTTCGTCGTCTTCTGTGTCTTTTCTATTTTTAGCAGTAGGTATATTACTCGGCATTTAGGACATTTAGGACATTTTTCTGGGTTTATGATTATATCATTGTCTGCCCGAGCGAGGTCTTGTGTGCCATGTAGTTTTTTTTTTGTTTTGTTTTTTTTTTTGTTTTTTTTATTCAAGAATTATCTATTCAGACTATTCCTGGTGTATTCCAGTTTTTGGTTTTGAAGATGGAAGCAGTTGTTACAGTAATCTTGACCTCCTTCCATTTTCTGGCACTCTATATGTGTATTTGGTTCTTGTTGTTACTTGATCCATGTAGGTTTTTCAATGTCCATTTTGCAGTTTTCCCACATCTTAAACCAGAACTCCTCGCCTTCGTGGATATTAGATGTGTTATTTATGTCTATGCTATATTTCCCAGATATATTTTCATGACATCTTTTTTCATAACTCCTGGTTCTTTGTGCCTTTGCTTGAATTTCTTGTTTCAGATTCTCTTTAACTTTTGGTACGAGAGTCTTATTCTTTATATCAAGGCTTCGTTTCAGTTTTATCATTTTTCTTTCTTTCATTTTTGAGTCCTTTTTTCATTTCCTTTTTCTTCTGACAATGTTCCTCGTAGTTTATTTAATTCGGTATCTATTTTTTTCTTTCCAGTCTGGGATATTTCTGTTTCGTTTACGTTGTGTTTTTACTTTTTTACATACTGTTTCTATGATCATTGCCAAGGCCGCGTATATAAGATGATTAATTTCTGTCAGGTTCATCGGTCTTTCCATTTCGTCCCTTATTTTACTAATTGCTTGTTTAACAAGGTTGATGGTTTCCTTCATTTGACGTTTCTTTCTTACTTTTAGAATTGTCGGCATCTCCTAAAAAGACATTTCCTTTACATTTTCCTATTTATATCGGCTCTTTCTGTCATCTCTGTTTTTCTATCATATTTGACATTATCTCCTCTGTTTGCTTGTGTACCTCAGAGGGATTATTACAACTATTTTTTTCGATTTGTTTCTCTGCATGTGTCTTTCTTCTTTGTTGGCATTTAGTCCCTCGTTGTTAGCATTTCATCTAGTTTTGAAATTTTCGCCGATGCTTTCGAGTTCTATGTCAGGTAATCTTTGCCTCCTTATGATGTCACGCTTAGCATTGGCTCATTTGTTGGCATTAATGTTTAGTCTGTTTGAGGGATGTTTTTCTTGCCAGATATTATAGGCACCTTTGGTCGTTGTTGTCATCGTCGGTTTTTTCGTAGCAGTGACGGCAGTTCTCGGCGTGGTTTTCCTGTAGTTCTCGTTGGGTAGAGTTTGTTCCAGTTGGAGACTTTTCGATCCCTGTCTGGTTCGTCACTTGCCATCGATGCTGTTTATCAATGTTTCTCGTTTTGTCATTATAGTTAGTTCGTATTTACACATTCGCGGTGGCTAGTTCGTGGGCTCCAGAACATATCTACACGATGGTGGACCATCACCTTTAGTGGGCCAAGCCTCCTCCTGCTATTTATTATTATTATTATTATTATTATTATTGCTTTGTCCACATCACGTCGAAGCACTGGTTTCTATACGATCACCGCCGTTAAGCAATGTCGAGCCTGATCAGTACCTAGATGGGTGACCACTTGGGAAAACCATTTTCCGTAATCTTGGATATGTCGGTGGTGTAATAGAAAATGGTTCGCAATTTTTAATCAGAAAGTCAGGGTTCAATTCCTGTTCGGTTTGTTGTCTACACTTACGCGCAGATACCCCTGGGAAAGTTACGAATCCAACACTTCTCCCCTCAGCTGTGGGTTAATTAGTAAGTTATGCAGCACCAAATAATTATTATTATTAAAAAAATAGAATAGTCTAAAATATTTTGTGGCTATAAATGACCCTCAAAGTGTTGATATGCCGTACAATACGAATCATTCAATCATTTCATTATTATTATTATGTAATTTTTCAAAAATATTTTACTTTATAAATCTTTACGTTAAAGAAGCTTATTTCATGTAGACATCTAAATACAAAGTATGATTTCAATAATTTATTACTATCATGACTATCTATAAAAGTGTATTTACAGACCTTTACCCAAAAGCTTATTCGAAGAATACGGCTTCACTATATTATTAATATCATCTTATGTATATTACATTATAATAAATCGTATTTAGTTTTGCCATTTGTTTTAGATCTTATAATGGCGGATATAATTGATGAGTTTGTAGCGATGTTGATATTTTCTTTGAAAGAGAAGAAAGAAGAATTCAGTTAGAAACAAAAGCATGGCTGGCAGAACATTGTTTGGTAGAGATCGCAAAAAGACAAAATTTATTAATAGCTACAAAGAAAAGGAACTCTGGATAGTCATTATCGCCATAAAAGAAAGATGGCGTATAGAAGAAGGAGAAGAGGCGCAAAACTACCGGATATGATTTGCTTCATAAAATACAAGAATGAATGAAATTTAATGTCAATAAGGAACATTTCAAGAGGAGTTCATTTGTAGTGATCATATTATATACTAGAATCAACTTAAAAGTTACTTAATGTTATAGCATACCTACAGACCATAATGGGTATGTTCGCATTCCCATAAATACAGTAGTGAATACTGTATGTGTTGGTCGGTCAGTCTGCTGTTGGATATCCGTCTTCACCTGGGCTGGTTAAACTCTCAGCCTCCGGGCAAGAGGATCCCCAGACAGGGCTATACCGAAAAGCAGAGTCTCGTCTCTGGAAACACCTACCCGACCCCGTTTTATAAGGGGCTTTGAGGAATGTTTTGGCTGAGCCTAGGTGATCGGGAACCTCACATTAAATTCAGCCTTGTTCCACATCTGACTGCGTGGGGTAGTTGGGATATACTGCCTGCAGTCTGCAGTTGGAGATTCATTGTAGAATTCACTTGACTTACTTCTATCAGTTGACTACTACTACACGCCGCTGGCGAATCTTATATGTGTTGTTCTTGTTCTAAGTATTATCGTTCATTACCAACATTCGTGTGATTATTCCATTGATTAACCTTCCCTGGGTTACAACATTTAAGTAGGTCTTTGACTCGGTGTTTCAACAGGGCATTACAGGTGCATAACAAAGTTGATTTGGAAGGTATTTACAAACATTTGAGGTGCATATTCACGCTTCAAATCATGTCAGTGGCTTGCTACGGCAGCTGTACATATAGTCAAGCAAGATGGGCTTAATATGTGTACAAAGGAGACAACCGTGTAAGAGTTTGTTAAATAAGGGCCCACCAGCGACGGAAACGTTAGAGAGTCTCATATCCTCCTAATCGAAAAATGCCCTCTAAAAACATATCCCTTAAACCGATATAAATTAACGAATTTCAATGTAGAATAAACAATAATTTTAAGCGTGATTTGTTTTCTTGTATTTTAATCAAGATAATCTCACAAAGATAACCTTACACCAGGAAGTGGAAGGAAACCCCATTAAAATGTCTGATAGTCAACTTCCTGAGAGCAACTCCCTGCCTCTGCTCGGTCTCACGCTGACTGTTGACCTGAGATGAAACAAATACATTGAGTCAATTGCTTCTTCCACCGCGAGGAAAGTTGGCTCTATGTGCCGCGCCAGGAAATTTTTCTCCCCTGAATCGATACTCCAAATATACAAATCAACCATTCGCCCTTGCATGGAGTATTGCTGTCATATATGGGCTGGAGCACCTTCTGCTTACCTCGGAGTTCTTGACAAGATCCAGAGACGGATATGTAATCTAATTGGCCCTAATCTAGCGTCTCGTCTGCAGTCACTCTCTCACAGACGCGACGTCGCCTCTCTCTGTCTTTTCTACAAATACTTCCATGGTAATTGCTCTGATGACCTCTTTCACTTTTTTCCAGACTCCATGAATTCAAGCACCCTACGAGGCTGGCTTCCCGCTCCCACCCTTACACCGTCGAAACTTTCAAATGTAGCCGTCTCTTCAACTCCAATAGCTTCATACCTCGCACCTCTCGCCAGTGGAACACCCTCCCCAATTACTGTTTCCCTGAAAGCTATAATCTCCAACTGTTCAAATGTAATGTCAACCGACATCTCCAGTTACCTTGATCTACCCACTATCCTTCTCCTTATCCTTTCTTCTATCACTCCTATCTGCTTTCGCTCCAAATCTTCCGCAACCCCCTGCATCCTAGTGGCTTTACGCCTTGCTTGGGGCGTAATGCTTAAAAAAAAAAAATATATATATATATTTCTTGATTTAAGTATTTTAACCTGTATCGGAAAATTTTGAAAATATGGCCGATAAATCGTTAAAACACAAGGTAACAGAACATTCCTTCTGCCTGCAGTCAGAAATCTTCCGAAGAGCGAGTAGAGCTGAAAAATACATTATATCGTATATTACATAAGCTTAAAAAGTAATTGGTTCCCATTGATTAAACTAGTATTTGGATAATTACAAAGAGGCAAAGGTGTAAGGGAAATGTCAGTGGATGAAACTGGAACATAGACGAAATATTTTGAAGCCTGGTTAAATGATTTACCTCAACGCGAAGGCAATATTGCTTTTCGTTATTAAAACGTCATTTTCGCTTTTTCCTTTATCAACTTCTGTTCGACTTGTGAAGACGGGGTTGGTGGAAGTGATGTCTGAATTGCGTGATGGGTGGAAGGAGAATCGGTCAGAAATGTCAGCTCTCAGATGGTGCCCAGTATAACAAAGAGAGCGTAAATCATATCTTCTAACAATGCCTGACCAATATTGGGTAATCTTCGGCGTTAATGTTCCTTTTGTTTTATCATTTCTTTGTAAATTTTGACCGAGGAGGAATTATTATGCATTTGATGCACTCAAGGGAGTAATGCTTTTTATTTTCATGCTATTAAGATTTTTTGCTGCTTTTTATTTAAAAAGAAAAAAAAAAGATGTATGATTTTAAATTTCTGGTCACGACTCTATACACTTATTTCTAAAGTTTAGCTCAAGGAGGCACGGTGGAGTAATGGATAGCAGCTCAGATTGAAGAATCACAGAGAATTTCAGTCGAATCCATTGTATTCACTTACGTGCTAATAACCTTGGGAAAGATATGAATCCTCTTCAGGACAGAGCGGGTTCTATAGTCTTGGATGGCAACTGGTCTACGACAGAAAGAAATGGCACATCTACTGCTGAAAAAAATCTGCCTCGTCAGTAATGTATCGAAAGATACATGCATGGCATATAACTGACTGAGATCAGGTTTGGTTGAAGGTCGCAGACATCAAGCATAAAAGATGCTTGTGTTGTTCACGTTGTAGAAACTATTGTGGATTACAAGACTAAAGCTACACTAAGCCAGGTGTTGTTATTTTGGTTTCTGTAGAAAGTAGGATTTTACAGAATGGAGTTGATAAGAACCAGCTCAACTGATGTTGTTATCATTCTCCAAGACTTGTTGTTAATCAAAGTTAGAATCCACAATCTACGCAGCTATTAATTGCGAAAAGAAGAAACAGGTTCAGAATTTCCCTAACGGTATGTCTGCGGACGGCTAGAATTTAAACACTACACGCCAACACCACATTCTGCGCTGACAGTAGCGACGCTATTAGTAACCTCTTACTGATCTCAGTAGTCAGTCATGTTTGTCAAAAAGACTATCTTGGTATCACAATAAAACTGCTAGCGAATATTGTTTGTTAACGTTTTGTCAGTAAAAATGACTTCCATAAGAATTATGACAGAGATTCTTGTTCATAATTATTACAGAAGACTTTTTTTCTTCTTTCATTCCATAATACGTCTCATTATTCCATCTTTAATCATTTCACACCAACAAAGGCAATAAAGCCACTAAGTATCACTGGGTTACTGAACAAAAAATATATGAGAGAAAGAAAAATATTATTAAGGCGAGAGAGCAATAAAAGAACAGAAATTAAGAAGACAGAAGATACTGATTGACATTGCATTTAAATCGATGAAGATGAAAGTTGATTAGAAAGAAAGAAACGTAAGAGAGTTCCACTAGCGAGGAGTGTGAAAGAAGAAAAAGTTGACATAGAACTTACGGTTACATGTAACCATTTCAACTATAAAATGATGGGACTTACTTACCAACTTATTACTGTGTTTAACTTCGTAACATCGAAGTACCCAATAGGAAAGTTCATAAGAACAAATCACCATATAAATATTTATTTAAAAGGATGCACAGGGGAGTTACATTATTGACGGTGGGATAGTGACTGCAGCTGAAATGCCAGTTTAGGACCGATGACAGTGTAGAATATACATTTGATTTTAGCAAGAATCTCTAAATCTTTAGTAGACGCACTAAACCATATATGAAGGCAATATTCAATACAGGAACGAATGGTAGGCTTACAACGTTGTACGATATATTTTGCCGAGAAAGATTGTGTAACCCAACACAGTGAACTTCACTTTTCTAGCAATTGATTCATTATAATCTTTCCACTTCATGTTAGTGGAAATCTTTAACGCAAGAAGGCGCAATGAGTTACTCACCTGGAGGTTAACGTCAGCCATGTTGACAGAACAAGAAAGAAAGGTTCTCTCAGACGAATAAAAGTGAGAGATTCCGTTTTGGATGCATTAAAGTTAACAAGCCACTTCTTGATTTTCTTTTTACCTTCCTCTCATATGTATCGTCTGTTTCATATCTCTTTTTCTTCTTTCTTTTCTTTCATCGATTTTCTTTTCCTTGTCGTTTATTAATTTCTTTTCTCTCACTTTGTTTTATTTCTATTTTTTCAGTTTACTTTTATAACGGAAAAGCTATGGAGGAAAGGCGCAGTCGATCATTTTACTCCCCCCCACACACACACACATTATGACCATTATTATATCTGTCATATGATAACACTGTTCTTCACGGACGGAACAGAAAAGGCGGAAATAAACAGGAATAATAAACATGCTTTGTTCTTAGAGAGGTATTTATACCACTAAAATATATATAGAACTATATATACCATATTTGATGGCATATAAGACGCACGGGTGTTTAAGACGCAAACCCAGTTTCAGCAGGGCAAATCAAGAAAAAATTAGTAATTATTAAAATTATTAGTGAATGGAAAAGCCTAGACTATATTTATGAGGTATCATTTTGTCTAAACAAGCCATGATTACGAAAATAATAATAAAAAAGAACACTATCTTACAAATTTTTCATATCCAAAGCCAGGAAAATAAAATTAAAAATCAAGCAATTATTACAATTGAGAAAAACATTACAGTTACGATTAAAATTGTATTCATCTTCAAATCTATAAAATTCACCATCTTCGTTATCAGAACACCGATACTAATTTTCAATACTACTGTCATCGTCGTTAAATAATGCGTCATCTTCCGTATAATTTTAGTGAAACAAAGTACTAATATTCAACATGATAAAATTAACATAATGAATATTATAAATGATAATACTTTTAATAACGACAATAGGTATATAAAAGTTAATCTAAAGTCTAAGCTAATAGGAGTTGCCAGGTAGCTAATTTCGACCAACTATTTTAAACGTACATATTGCATATATAAGACACCAGGGAATTTAAAAAATATTTTAGTCAAAATAAGTTCGCCTTATACGACGTAAAATATCGTACATATTTACACTTGTCCCAAAGAGAGAAAAGCATATCATATATATCTACACGTCAAGCAGAATGAAATGAGAAAGAAAATATCTGGCCTTGCATAAAATATATAGATTCTTCTGTGATTCTTGAGAAGCCATTTTTAGGACTTCAGATTCAAATGGACCGGATTCCTCTACTACGTTCCAAGTAAAGACTGGTAACAGTGAATGTTCAGTTTTCACAAACTGGGGACTGCTAGCCGGAGATTATTTCTATATCTAGGGAAGTTTATATTCGCACAAGGAAACGGTACTATGGTCTTGCAAGCTGTTGGCCCCGGGCCTGGTTTGACTGCCTCCTTTTCGGCACCAAAAGTTGGACGGTCTCCTCAAAGATGAAAGAGAGACTCGAGGCGACGGAGATATCGTTCTACAGAAGGATATCATGGACCGACCGTGTGAGCAACGATGAGGTTTTGGAGAGAATGCAAACAAGGAGGAAGCTTAGATTTAGCATCTTAGCAGATGAAATTTCTGGGGCACGTCATGAGAAAGGAGGTCCTGGAGAATCTGATACTCACAGGGCGATCAGAGGGAAATGGAGACAAGGGAAAGCAACGCAGGACATATCTGGCGGGCTTAAGTAAGTAAATGACAGAATGTGGTTTGGGGGAGGTGGCAGAGGGACGAGACTTATTGAGAGCTACAAGGGATAGGGGGGGAGTAGAGAGCCATGATGGTCTACGTCTTGAAAGGGACACGGCACATAAATAGAAAAAGAAACCTGATGGCTGACTGATCAATTTCGTTATTATATGGAGTGACGTTTTTTGAGCGAACGGCACGTGGCCCACGTGATCTCGACCAAAGGGAGATAATAGCCTTTTGTATCTTTACTCTTCAATTTATTCATTTTCGCATTTTCACTCTTTGGTTTTCTTCCGCAAATTCTGTCTTTCTTTTTCTGTTTATTCTGTTCATCGATTCATTTTATTTTCTGTCTTTCCCTTTTTCCTGTTTTGCCTTTTTTCTTCGTTTCTTCTGATTCTATTTCTTGTTTCTTTCTTTCTTTCTTTCTTTCCCGTAATTCTCTTAATAATACTTCTTTCTTTCATTCTTTCTTTCTTTCTTTCTTTCTTTCTTTCTTTTTTCTTTCTTTATTTCTTGCTTGCTTGCTTTCTTTCTTGCTTTCTTTCTTTCTTTTTTTTTCTTTCTTTCTTTCTTATTACCCATTTATTCTTTCCCTTTCTCTTTATAATACATCTTTCTTTCTTTCTTTCTTTCTTTCTTTCATTTTTCTTTCTCATTTATTCTTTCCCTTAATTCTCTGTATTATACTTCTTTCTTTCTTTCTTTCTTTCTTTCTTTCTTTCTTTCTTTCTTTCTTATTACCCTTTTATTCTTTTCCTTAATTCTCTTTATAATGCTTCTTTCTTTCTTTCTTTCTTTCTTTCTTTCTTTCTTTCTTTTCTTTCTTTTATTTTTTTCTTTCTTATTACCCTTTTATTTTTTTCCTTAATTTTTTTCTTTTTATTACCTTTTTTATTCTTTTCCTTAATTTTCTTTTCTTTCTTTCTTTCTTTCTTTTTCTTTCTTTCTTTTTCATTTCATTCTTCCACTTAATTCACTTTATTATACTTATACTTACTGCTTATTCTGCAGTTTAGAATTCAGTGTTTTCCTTCTCTTAGATTGGTTGTCCCTCGAGGTTAAGTAAGTCCAGTTTCTCCTGCTATTAAACATACTTACTTTTTAAAAATAACCACCTAACCAATCATGACTTTCGATGGTTTTATTTTTCGTTTTATTTCTTTTCAGTGAATTGATATGAATTCTTGTGAAATATTCTGGAGTGGTTTCACGTTGCCTGCTCTACTGTTTTTCCATCTTAAACGATTTGCTATTCAATGTTAGAGAGCACAATCTTCCCTCGTATTTAACCCATGGCTCCGACTGAACTTAAAAATAATACTAGTAGCTAAATTTACGCTGAAGTATATTTCCTTCAGTAAATATTCCTGGTGTAAAACTATTCAAAATATAATCAACAACCTTCTCCTTCTTAAGTGGGAACGTTAAAAAATTCTTAGTCATAATCGAATTAAACAAAAAATAATGTCTCCCATTATTTATTATTTACCATTACTTTAACTTTTAGTTACCAGAAAATTTCGAAAATAAAATCTGTTGAGTGATTCTTTTTTCAATTTTTAAAAAAATGTTTTCATTATATTTTCTCTTTGAGATGGGGAAATTGATTTCATTTTTTCTATTTGTTTATTTTTTTCTCTAAGAACAGTCAACCAAAAAAAATCATCGTGCTTTGCCGAATTATTCCTGTTGGGAGAGTTTTCTTTTTCTTTCTCTTGCGAAAAATTCCAATGAAAAGCCTCAAGTGAGAATCAGAGATTTTTAAGTGAGAACTGGTTATTCTACGCGAAGACAAATATTGATGATGACTGTGATGTTCATTCTGATAACGATGATGCTGATCATCATATAAATAGAAAAAAAAATGAAAGTCCGAAAGTAGTTCCATTTAAAAAAGGAAGAAAGAAGATGGAAGCTAAACAAAGTAAGAAAAAAAAAGAAAGAATAGAAAAAAGAAACTAGAAGGAAGAAAGATGTTAAAAAGAAAGGAAGAAAAATGAAAAGATAGAAAAAAGAAAACAAGAAGGAAGAAGGATGTTAAGAACAAAGGCAGAAAAATAGAAAAAAAAAGAAGAAGAAGGATATTAAAAAGCAAGGAAGAATAAAGAAAGAATAGAAAAAAAAGAAAGAAGTAGGGTGTCAAAAACAAAGGAAGAAAAAAATGAAAAATAAAAAAAAATGTCTGATATTAAAAAGTAAATACAAATGAAGAAATAAGAAGCGGGACAGTAAAAAGAAAGACTAGGATTGAAGAAAAAGAAAAAAAAAGAATGAAAGAAGCATGGTATGAAAGAGAAAGGACACGAAAGAAGAAAAAAGAAAGAAATGTCAAAAAAAGAAACAAATGATCAAAGTTGTGAGAGAAAACTGTAAATAAAAATAACGATGGAAAGAAAAATAATGCATGAATGAGAAAAGGAATGAAAGAAAGAAAAAGCAAATAAAGAAGTAGATTTTGAAAGAAAGCCGTTAAAGAAGAAAAAACGAATAGAAAAAAAATTATGAAAAACAATATCAAATGAGAAAAGAAATGGATAGAAAACAGGAAGGAAAGAATAAGAGGCAAATACACGAGAAAAAGAAAGTAAATTAGGTGAAAAATTGAATGAAAAACGAAGGAAAAAGGAGTCAGATCCAGTGCTTTTGTAAGAAAAAACAAATGAGTAAAAGAAAGAAAGAAACAAACACAGAAAGGAACAAAGAAAGAAAGAAACAATGAAACAAATGAATGAATGAATGAAGGAAGGGAGGGAGGAAGGAAGGAAGGAAGGAAGGAAGGAAGGAAGGAAGGAAATGCATAATATATTTGTGATGAGTAAGAGACGTAGAAAAAGTAAGAACGGAACTTAAGGAAAAGGAAGAAATAAAAATGGAATAAAAATAAATAATAAATAAAAGTTAGTTTGAAAAAAAAAACAGAACAAAAGAGATACTGACATACATACAGATAGACAGATAAACAGACAGAAAATTCAAAGAAACAAAACAAAAAGTGATGAAAAGAACGTGAGAAATGTGTCAAGAAATGGAAAATGCAATGAAAAAGAAAAGGGGAAAATTGTTATTAAAATTCGAAAAGATAACGAAAACGAAATGTAGATAGAATGTAAATATTTTGATAAACGACCAAATAATAAAACCTGCCTTATGTAGCTGCACAATGTTTCACTCAGTCGAACGATGAGAGACACTGTAAGGGGAAAATACACAAAACGATATAAGAATTGTGATTCACAGAAATGATCTACTTAAGAAAATAAGACATGGGATAATTGAGGACAGTGATGGGGGAAAGAAGGTTACATAAGCTAAAGAGCGAATGAAAGAT